CTCACGTGATTCCTCGCTTGATCTAGATTCTCGATGAATGTAATAACAAACCGTTCCTACCGAGCGACGAGATTCCAACGACGACTTTGCAGAAATGTTCACTCGCGTTGCAAAACGCGCGACGCAAAAAGGGCCAGATTTTAGCAATTTTCTGCAACGTTGGTCCACCCGAATGTCACACTTTCCAGAAAAAAGGTCGGGTTGTGAAACGACCTTCACGGAGAGAGCAAAAAGTCCACGGTGGACAGAGAATTTTTGGAGGCGAGGAGGAAGTTTGGTGATCAAAATGGCGGAACAATGGTATGAAAACAGCCGGGTCGACACGCTTCACGGTGAGGTGTTTCCTGGTCTCGCGAGGTGAACCGATTTTGGGAGATCCAGGCTGGCTGATCGTTCAAGGATTAACCTTCCTCGAGCGCCCATGGTATTGGAAAGCACTGACTGTTCTCCTTGCACCGTGTCGCGGCTGGAAGCCCGCTAATTACCGGGTTAAGGTCAAAGATTCCATTTTTGACGAAGGTCAAGAAACCATCCACGCGATCAACAGCACGTAGCACGTTTATTCACCCCTCCTTGCGACTTTCGTCGAAATTGAATCGAATCCAGTTCAGTTCCGGGGTTCTCTACGCTTTCAACTCCAAAATGGTGACCTACGGAAGAGAAATCGATACGAATTTAGGAAGCAATTTAAGGAACGTGCAGCATTTTTAATTATCGCTTTTACTATGACTTATCGCGAGTTTTGACATAAAATTAGAATTTTATTTTATTTCTCAACTATTTATGACGGAAAATACAAACGGAGAATAATAATACCGGTACCATAATATTGCAAATTGTTGTTTAATAATTTTTTAAAATGATAGGGTTACTTTCGATATGAACCTTTCAATTGTTATTTGTTTTTTAGGCATTGGTGACTAGATAATATATGTTTGTAGTATTAAATACAGCGTTTTTTAATATTTTTTGAAAATCGATAAACGCGTTGAAATAAAAGATTTCGTTTAGTATTGTGCTTTATGGTATATCGTGAGCAATGAAATAAGACTTCCGGTTTAATTTCCACGTACGTTGAAATTAAATAGACATATAATAGCCGACGCAATTGATCGGTATTTAATACCTGGATAAACTTTCCGGTTGGATAATGTCTAATGAAAAAGTATTACACGTTTAATCGCGTGTTCATAAACCACGTTCGGTAAATATTTATGGAAAGTAAATTAATCGGATTTTAATAGGCGAAACTGAGTGCCATCTAGTTCCAGGGTTTTTAGATAAATTGTCCGTTGGATAATGTCCAACGAAAGAACATCGACGTTAATTCACTTTCGTGTTTATTAATCCTTCTGGATCAACGATCCGTAGCGATTGAACGAAGCTTTAATAGCCGGAGAAATAGACCGCCATTTCCTAGGCTCTTAATAAACTTCCCGTTGGGCAACGTCCAACGGAAGAAGATGGATTTAATTTTGCTCCCAGATTTATTAATTGCGTCACTTCAAACATACGTTGAAAATAAATGGAAGTCTGATATCTAGAAAAATATACTAGCATTTAAATCCTAGGTCCCTAGATAAATCATTAAATAATTATTTAAGGCAGGCACTTGGAAACAAATTTAGTTTCGCGTTTATCAACACCCTTACTCATCGGTCATTTATCAAATTTGTCGAAAAATTGGAACTTTCGCGTGGAAAAAAGGGGAGAAATAGTTTAGTATTCAATTTCTAGGTTCCTAGCTGAATCCCATATATTAATAATAAAAACTTCTAAGCTATTAGAATTTAATTTGGGGGGTGTAAGGATACAGGCTTTGCCACAAGTGTAACAAATCCCACAAATGATCCCACAAATATTATCGCACGATTTATGCTAACGAAGTTATCGCTGTTTAATTATTGACGTAGTAAAAAGGTCCCTAGATGAATCCCATAGTAATAAAAATTTCTAAATAGAAATTAAATTGGGGGTGTGAAGGTACAAGCTTTGCCCCTTATATAGACCCCACAAATGTTATCGTGAGATTTATGCTAACGAAGTTATCGCTGTTCAATTCTTAACGTAGTGAAAAGATCCCTAGATGAATCCCATATACATCCCTAAATGAATTCCATAACAGTAAAAATTTCTAAATAGAAATTAAATTGGGGGTGTGAAGGTACAAGCTTTGCCCCTTATATAGACCCCACAAATGTTATCGTGAGATTTATGCTAACGAAGTTATCGCTGTTCAATTCTTAACGTAGTGAAAAGATCCCTAGATGAATCCCATATATTAAAAATAAAAATTTCTAAGTTATTACAAATTAAATTTGGGGTTGTGAAGATACAGGCTTTGCTACAAGTGTGACAAATCCCACAAATGATTCCACAAATATTATCGCACGATTTATGCTAACGAAGTTATCGCTGTTTAATTATTAACGTAGTAAAAAGGTCCCTAGATGAATCCCATAACAATAAAAATTTCTAAATAGAAATTAAATTGGGGGTGTGAAGGTACAAGCTTTGCCCCTTATATAGACCCCACAAATGTTATCGTGAGATTTATGCTAACGAAGTTATCGCTGTTCAATTATTAAAGTAGTACAACATCAGTTTTACTCTTCCTGTTTCTAGACAAACCAGTCGTTAGATAATATCGACCGGTGCAACATCGACATAAATTCAGCCATTGCTCGTCGATATGAAAGATCTAGCCAGAATTACCGTTAATAGCCGGCACTTGCTAGGATAATGATACAACCCTACCTTGATCGGATCATTACGGAGCATTATTTCGTCCGACGTGCCCCTTGGTAACTCGGTGCTGCTCGGAAACCTTGTTCCACTTCGGCCAGGTCTTATCCTTTCCTGCTTTTAAGACGGAAACGCTTGGTTTCGAGCGGTGAAGGGCGAAAGGACGATTACCCAGCGTTTCCAAAGCGGTCCCTGGCGCTCCAAAAAGCGCGGCGATTGGGTTCCCTTGAATCGACGATTGAATTTCCATTGGAAGCCGGGCATGCAGATGCACGGCCTCGCGCCGAAGCGCGCTGTCAGGCGCGGGAAAGAAGCGGGAACGGGCCTCGTTGCGGAATCCTAGAGATGATCGTCCGCGGATGACACCGATTTATTCTGCGCCCGAGATTCATCGCCGGAAATTATGCGAACTTCTGGGAACTCCGTGGTCTCCTTTCGACCAGATTGTCGGTATTAATTGCGTTATTTGCTCCTCCTTCCTCGCGGTGCTCGTTTGTCTCGCGGAGGCTGAGGTCATCGATGATGTCGATGAAGAATCTTTTGACTGGGATCTTTTGTTGGAAAAGAGAATGGAACGGCGATATATTTAAATATCTCGTGTCATCCGAATAAACGCGAACACGTTACTCGCCTCGTCATTTATTTCACGTCTGAAGGATTCCACGCATAATAGGAACAGTCTCCGTGTGGGGGGCTGAAAACAACTTTTTCCGCGCGAATAGCATTCAGAATCCAGACACCGTGATCAGAGGAGCGAAGAAAAGGAAGACAGAGACCCGCCATTCAAGAGGCCTCTATTCTTCACTTTTATCGCGCGGATCGTCGCATCAGCGCGAATTCTCGCTGCTCCTCTTTGCCCTCTTTTCCTGTTTTCCGACATCGCCGACGAACCGCGTCATGATAAATCGGTCCGTCTAGACCGAAGAAACACCACCGGGAATGCAGTCACGAGTTTTTGCAGCGATTTAGTTTTAATTTCCACCCGAAACGGGTTTGATCGCAACGAGATCGCGGTTGAAACGTGACTTGAGCGGTTCTTACGGCCGCGCATGACGTCACTGAAGCTCGCGCACCGGATCCGGATTCCGATCGCGATGGCTGTAATTAGAAGCGTCATCGGGACATGTCGCGGGTGACGCTTTAATTGAGATCGCGTGGGTAATCGACGATAATTCGATTTTCCAATGGCAATCGCGTGCCCCGGAGGATCGAGGAACGCCGCGGCGGTCATCTTTTTGCCCTGGGTGCTCCCTGGCACGTGGAATTGATTAGGCGAATGAATGCGCCACGACGGGAATTTATTGGATGGAACTGAAGGAATTGCAGCTGGAATGACTTAGTGTCACTTCGACCAGATAAATTATGGCATTTTATTACGATAATTCTCGTAACAAGATCGGTTGACGATTTCAGACTAACATTAAGTCTCTACGATCAATCTTTAATTTCTGCTTTAGCTACCTGTCTGATCCCTCTTACGACATAATTTTCTTCGGAGAATCACACGTGGCCTGATTCACTCATCGTGATTGATCATTTCGGAGATCAAATGACTAAGGTGGTTGATTTTCCCTTAACCTCTGGATTTACGATTCTATCCGGAACTATCTGACTAAACTTTCTTACCTGTCGTAAAGTATTGCGTATGATTCGTATTTAACTCAAAGTTACGATCATTAATACCAGGTTATGAGGCAAGGGGTTAAATAATTCCTAACTCGCTCATTAGCTCAAATTTACCACAGTCCAACTGATCCATTCCTTACTTTCGTTTTCAACTTTTGTCACTCGATTTCCCAATTCCTCTTTCGACATTGGTGCCTATCCTGCTTCATCCACTGTAACCGATCGTTTAATCGATAGAGCAACGATTAGTCGCGAGGTTAGAGCGAAATTCTTGGCAACTCGACGTTCCCTGACGAAACGCTCGGTGTCTCGACGAATCTGTGGAATCCTTGCGAACCACTAACGATCGGCAGCAAGTCTAACGCAAGAGTCGCGAGCAGCGCGCGCGCGAGCAAGATCGGGGGACGCGGCGCGTCGCGTCGTTTCCCCCGAAGCGATCGCGAGCGTCGGAGCTTGGCGATCGGTCGCGTGGTGTCCCCGCGAGGCAGGGGTCACCTTGACCATCGTCAAGGGCCCGTTTAGAGGGGCTCGGACCCGAGGGGGCAGGGATTAAAGAGGCACGGTGGCCTCCAGCGGCGACATATAAGTCCCAGGAACAGCCCCCACCTCGCGTCAAACGTTCCCGGTACGGCAAGCGCGCGGTATACACCTACGATCCACCTTTTATCGGCATCGTTTCCTCTGCTCTGGCACGCGAGTCCAGCTTAGCGGAGCTTCCAGCAGGCAGAAGAGCACCGAGCATCGTGCTGCACCCTTTGGGCCACCGTGCCACGTTCGGGCCCTGCAGTGGAAGCCGGTGATCTCCATCGTACCGATCGTGCAATCGGTCTGGTCGAGAACTCGCGGTTGTAGTTGCTTACCTATTCAGCCTGTGGCGAAACGTTTCGCGATTATCTGGTCGCCACGTGACCACTTGGAACGCACCGATTCTCTCGCTGGACAATTAACGGAACCATGAGGACCGTAAGTAGCAATTCGTGAACGATCATGAGGCCCGCCGCGGAAGGGAAGCGCGTGCAGACGCACGGAAGAGATCCATGGTGTTGGGAAAGGGAAGTTTTCCACGGACTTGGTCCGTGTGCGATTAATCGGAGAGGGGGCGTTGGGATCGGTGGGAGAGACTTTCGCGAGACTAGATCGCGCGCTTTTATAGTGAACTAGCTCGCGCTCCCTGTGCTCGTTCGATCGATCATCGTCTCTCTCCCGGTCGAGCGGAGAAGTCTCGCGGTTTGTGCTCGGTTCGGCACATGACTCGCTCCATCGTAACACTCGAGCGCGATTCGGTCACCTTTCCGGTTTCCGGGGAAATGAGGTGTTCGCCTGGATACCATCGAGCACGGTAGTCGGACGGATCGAGGATCGACGAGGGTACATGCAGGATGAGGCTGTTGCAAGTGAGAATAGATATTATCATCGCGTATCATCTCGCTTCACTTTCGAGATCTCGTCTCGAGTGTCATCTTAGTCGAGGATTTAAATCAGTGACCGTCGTGGCGTCTCGTTTCAAGGTTCTAGCGAATATTAGCTAAGAAAACAGAAGTGGCCGAACATCCTCGCGTGGCTTTCACGCGAGAACTTTCTACGATTGTGCCGGGCGAAAATCGCTTCGAGCGTCAATCTGAGATCGACGGTAATTCGTTATCGCCAAGATCGTTCGGATCGAGATAAGAAAATGGCTACTTAGAGACGCGAGAGAGCGCGAAGGCACCCTGATCCACCTCGTGACCGCGTAAAAGCGTGCAGATCACGGGGTCCGCGTATTCTACCCGAACTTTCTACATCCTCGTTTCTGGAACCGTGGTTCGTATCACAGAGAAATAGTTTACGGTTGTCGGCATCGTAAGCCTGACTATCATCGCGCTCATCTGCGTTGCCCCGTGTAATTACGATACCCAGAAGAAATCGCTGTAATATTAACAGCCGTTTAATTGCCCCAGTGAAACATCTGTACCTTATCTTTACCGTGGAATTCCCATTGCCCACTTTGGATTCTACTAGATCTGTTCCACCAGTCGACAGCAAATTTATTCCCGCGATAAGCATTCGATAGATCCCGAACGTTTCGTCTTCGCCGTGTTACTATCGCTTTCGTCACTCTCCTCTTCTAAGAGAAAGTAATCACCGGTCTAACACCGGTGGATTACGCCGAGCTGCTTAATTAACGGGCCCCTAGCTCCGAGTCGAACAGACGTTCCACTCGACTCGTACAGCACGGGTACAGTGAATAGAAGGAAGTTGAACGGACGTGGAGGCGCGAGCAGAGGAAATCCGCAAACTCGACTCGGGTTCATTCACGAGATCGTAGCCGTCGGCGAGACAGGTCCACGTCCTTGCCCGGGGCTGTCGCAACGTTTGCAGCTAGGCTAACGCGTCTGCTTCGTGCCTGATCTCTCGATCATTGCGTAACGAATCACCGGTGGCAGCTTGTCTGTCGAGAGGACGATTATCGCCCGATCGATCGACCCATCGGTCGAGATTTACCTGAAATCTAACAGAAATCCCGACTAACGACGGAGAACCGAAACTCCGGCACGTCGATTTCGTCGATCGTTGCGTAACGTCACGAACGATATCCGGAGGGATCGGGAAAAAAGAAAAGTTCAGGATTAAAATCGGAGAACAACGAGCGCGATTCGTTCCAGCCCCGGCGGAATTGCTCGGGCACGCTCGAAAATTCAGAAGAGCATTGTGAAACGAGGCTGCAAACGACTCTGTTTAATTTCTTCTATGCGCCTTTTTTCTCCACGCCAGTCATGTCCGACGGAGTCACGCACGAAAAACGCCATTAACCGCCGTCTAAAACGAAAATGGCCACCGGTTCTGGTCACGCGATCGGGATTCGGTAGCGCCTTGCGAAATCGTCTGGATATTAATCCTAGCCCAACGACGAGAGGAACATCAGCTTCTCGACACCTGACTCCTGGCGTCGGTTTTTCCATCGCTCAGGCATCACGAGGTTCTCCGAGCGTTTATAACGTACACCGATCTACTCTAAACGCGGGAGACTGGTTATGCAAAGCGTATCGGCGATCGCGCGAACCGCGAAAAATCGGCGGACGCACGCGGGCAAGGTAATTTCGTCTCGAGTGCAGATTAATTTTCACCGCGGAACCACTGAACCTGTTAACGACTCGAAATCGGTTTTCCTAATCGCGTGGGATCGGTTACCTTCTCGCCGATCACGGGTACGCGTTCCCGCTTTCTAATCGAGCCGAATATCAATCGGCGGAGACACTGACGTTTCCTAGAGCATTAGGCTGGAGAATTGTGCAAAAACTGAAACGAATGCGAAACGTTCGCAGAGTTTTCTTTGCAATCTTTGCAATCTTTGCAAACGTGTAACGAAAGTGTCCGGAGATTGTAACACGGCGAGATAGGCCGATCTTTCCGATCCATTTCGGAGGATCTAGTGCGTGACACGCGAGTACGGTTATGGTACCCCAAGTACCCTAAGCCGATGTTGGACGTGCCGTGGTTTTTACGCGATAATTCCGCGGTCTGTGTTCCCCGGTACCTTTTTCTCCACCAGGTAATATTAATCGTGATAATATTTCTCTATTTTCTCGCCGATTATTTACACATCGCTCATTGTTCGAGGAAGCGGAAATGTTGGCACATTAGGCGCGCGAGTCGTTACGAGGTGTGACGGAAAGGTGCCATTAATCATCTTCGAGTCTTCGGGAACGGTATCGGTCATGCTCGGGATTAACGCGGAACGAGTGGCACAGATGTCCAACTTCCGGTGCACCTCTTTCTCGCTGAAGGGAACGTCGAATTTTCCCATCCACCTTCGTCCCGAACGAAACGAATTTAAATAAATCGACGCCGATTCATTTCCCCGGGAAAACGACATCCATCGACTGTCGAACGATCAATTGGTTGAAATAAATCGCGCTTGCGTGGCTCGGTGTACCGTGGACGATTAGTCATGCGATTGAAAGGCCGATTTCATCGTCGTTTTATTATTCTTTTGTTTTTCCTCGTCCCCGAACTGTAACCACGCCCGTGCACTGTAAATCACTGGATTACATTCGGGAACTTTATTGCACCCACCTATCGATGCCATAGGAAGCATTGCTTCCCGGTTGCACGCGTTTCCCAATAATATCTAGACCAGACTCGCAGCTGCGTAAATCATTAAAAAAGAGAACCGCGCGAAGCCTTTTTCCGTGCTTAAAAACACGGCTACTTTGTAGCCAGTTATTCCGGAAGAATTATCTTCCAGATCGGTAAACAGCATGACGCGTTATATATTTCCTGCGGGGCGAAAGTGGCCGAGGGAACGGATTGGAAAGGAGGGAAGAGCGACTTGTTAGCCGTGTATTTTTTAAAAACCCCCGGTGAACGGTGGCGATTTTCGCGCTTGGAAAGGTTCGCGCAGGATGAAGAAACGTTCCGTGACGCTTTTCCCCCGTGGCTGTTGGACCGTGACCGTACACACGATCGGAAGTATTCATCGTCCACCGTGACCCAGTTCACCCCTTTCCATGTTCTCCATTCCGCGTGACATCGTCGATGGAGAAAAGCCGATAGACATTTGGACGGAGACCTAGCAAACCATAGACTCATAGATCATCTGACATTCTACTCGATAAAGCGTTATAAACGTATCGCGATAGTCCACCGAGAGTCGAGTAGCTACTTCTATTTCGCTGGATAAGAACAGGTAATATCGGTAGGAAAGGAAAGTAGGTGTCCCCTTATGTCAGATCACGCGTGCAAACGCGATCTAGCTCTTTCGAGAGGCCGAGTTTCGATTGTTCCTGGAAGTTCTGAAAGGCTGAGCAGAGGCTGTCAGAAGATAGAAATTGTAAAGCAACGAGCAGACGTCGCCTGTCCTACTTTCTAATTACGAAGACGTTCCCTTTTCCAACAACTTTGGCCCCAATTTCGCGCAATAACTGGCCCACCGCCAAGGACGGAAGGCATCGCGCGAGAATTGCACTAACGGCGACACGTCGAGGATGAAATCGCGATCGGGGATGCTCGCTTTCACTCCATGCAACGATTTTCTAACAGCCCTCGAATCGGAACGACCCTATGGCGCAACTCGCACGTGGCATTAGAATTTATCAGCGATCGAGGGAATTCGCGTTAGCTCGTTTCTTTGTGCTGGCTCAAACTTGCGCGTCCGAACAATCGCGTTAGCAACGAACGGACGAAGTTGTCGGGAATCTGGGAGCAGGAATATTCGAGGTCAAGAAGATGTCTGTTGCGTCTCACTTCGAAATCCACTGCTCTCCATCCGAGATCCCCGATGTCGAACAATGCCGCGTTCGAAACGCCACAATGGCCCTTTGTCTCTCTCCCCGTGTATTCCTCCGATACCCTCGGAAATCGTAACGCGGCCATTATACAATTTTCCCGAGGGAACAGGCCCGGATTTATGCAGACTCTCGGCTTCTTAGCCCCTTCTCCGCGAACAACAACGAATTCCGTAACGCCGATAGCGGTTTCTCCTCGTTCCGGTGGCGTCGTTTCGCTCTCGGAGAGCGCATTCCGTCGAATTTTCTGAACGGTCGACCTCGATTATCGTGCACATTGCACAATTCCACCGCCGCCACATTTCTGAAAGGACTCCCGGTTCACGTTCCACGGGAAACCAGTCCACCGCGATGTTTCCTATTTCTTTTCGCTCCACGTCGAATCGGTATCACTTGCGACGTGTTTATATCGCGTGGAATCATTCGTCATGATTACCGTCATCGTTGGTATCAATCACCGTCCTCTTCAACGCGACGGGGTACAAAATGGAAGCCACTGGAAGGTGTAGAACGTCCAACGACGAATCGCAGGCGTGCGCGTTGTGCAAGCATCGTTTGGCACGGTGCAACGAACGCATCGCGTTCCCGGGTGTGCATCATATCGTTCTCGATGTCGAAATTAGGTACCTGCGTCGTAATCTTGACTTGCAAAACGCGAATCGAAGAATCGTGGAAACACCAGCTGTTCATGCGAATCTA